TTTACCGGTGGCCCACCATCTCCATCCCCGTCTACTACGCAGCCACGGTCGGCGCCCCCCCGCCCGGCTGGGGGTGGGCTGAGGCGGGCAGGAGGGGTGGAACAGCAGCCTGGGGCGCACAGGGGGCATACAGAGTGAGGACAGGGCGCCCCCCCTCGCAGCCCTCCACACCTCCCACCACCCGCCCCGCCCCGCCCCGCCCACCGTGGCTGCGTAGTAGACGGTGATGGAGATGGCGGCCCACTGGTTGATGACGATGGGGAAGGAGCCCAGCCACACCTGCATTGTTGGGGCGTGGGGGAGGGTGTGAGGCAGGTAGCAGGCGAGGGTGTGAGGCAGATACACTCAGCGACTCTGCCCCCAAGTTCCCAGCCCGTCCGGTGCCTCGTCCCCAGCCCTCAGCCCCTTCCTGTTATCGCACCGTGATCATGGGCACCAGCATGAGCAGGGGCGTGGATGTGAAGGCGGAGAAGTAGGAGAGGATGACGGAGCCGTACATCCAGCGCATGAGCGGGGACAGGCCGCGTGCAAACACGGGGTTGTGCCGCGAGAAGAAGACCTGAGTGCGGGTGGGTGGCGGGTGGAGGCTGCTGTGGGTGGGGCAAAGGAGGGCAAGGGGGTGCTCTGCAACCTGCCCATGGGCAGGTTGCAGAGCACAGTGGCCACCCACCTACCCACCCACAGCACAGCACCACCCCCCACCTGGAAGTGTCCCTTGGACCAGCGCGAGCGCTGCTGGAAGCAGTTGCGAACTTCCTCGGGCGCCTCCCCCACCGCCAGGTACTCGCCCACGTAGCGACACTGCCAGTTGAGCTTCTTCAGCTCGATGCCCAGCGCAAAGTCCTCGGTCAGCGTCCACTCCGGGAACCAGCCGGCCTGCACACAGGAGGGCGTGGGGTGGGTGGGGAAGGCGGGCAGGCGGGCAGGCAGACACAGCAGAACAGGCAGAGTTCAGAGAGGCAGGGTGCTGCTGGCCGCCAGCTCCCGGCCGGCCCTGGGTGGGCCGCTTCCCACCCTTCTTGCCCGCGCACCTGCTGGAAGGCTCGTGCCCGCAGCAGGAAGTTGGTGCCTGTGCAGGAGATGAGGCCCAGGGCGTCGTAGCCGGGCTGCGTGTAGTCCCAGAAGTGGACGTTGGCGTGGTTGAAGATGTCGCCGGCCTGCGGGTGTGGGTGTGGTGGTGGTGGTGTGCATGGTGTGTGTGTGGTGCGGGAAGGAAAGGAAGGAGGAGGGGCGGCACAGGGCACAGGCAGCAGCGGGGCGAGCTGGGGTGCAGCAATAGCAGAGGCGAGGTTGCAGCTGGCATTGCTCACCGGGTTGAGGTTGTAAAAGGTCTGCGCAGCGGGTGTGCGGCGGGTGTGCAGGGGTGGGGGCGGGGATGCAGGCAAGCGTCAGGGCATGGCGTGGATGCAAGGCGCCGGGTGGCACAGGCAGGCAGGGCAGGCCAGGAGCGCTCTGCTGGCGAGGGGCCCTGCCCGGGCGCACCTGGGGCGACAGCACCATGCCCACATCCTGCCCTCCATCCAGCAGCGGCACTGTCTTCAGGAAGAAGTCGGCGTTGGGGACCTGCAGGGGTGAGCGGGTGCAGGTGTGTGTACATGTGTGTCAGAGAGCGGGACGGCGGGGAGGATGGGAGTCGCCGGCGTGCCGGGTGCCGCATGTTGCTGCGCCACAGCAGGCCAGTTACCTCCAGCAGGCCAGCCGCCTGCTCACCTGGTCGGCGTCAAACACGCAGATGACCTCCGTCAGCGGGATGGCGCGCCCCTCTGGGTACACCTGGCGCACCGCGTTGTTGATGTTGGCAGACTTGCCGTTCATCTCGCCCTTGGCGCGCTTGCGGCCGCTGCAGGGCGGGCAGGGGCGCAGGGTGGAGGAGCAGGGAGGCCAGCAGGCTCAAGCAGGCCGTAGTGGTGGAGGCAGGCAGGCAGGCAGCCAGCCAGCCAGGTAAACAGCGGGGAGGTAGGCACAGCCCACAGGGGAGGTAGGCACAGCCCACTCCAGCACCCCCCAGCCCACCTGACGTAGACTGCGTTGGCCAGGCCCAGGCCGTGCATGAACTTCTTCTTCTCGATGTCGCGTCCGTCGTCCAGCAGGTAGACTGCGGGGAGGACGGCAGGGCAGGCCAGGTGGCGGGGGGCAGGGGGCAGGGTGGAGTTGCCGCAGCGGCTGGCGCGCCGGCCCCCAAGCTGCAAGGTCATGGCAGCAGACCCGCATGGCACCCCTGCTGCCAGCCCCGTCGGCCTGCCTGCCTCCCTTCCATGAAATGCTTGCGTGCCTGTGCCTTTCCCCTGCACCCACCCGTGCGCGTGCAGCCCGTGGGTATGGGCGCCACCAGCGCCGCCGTCACCGTCTTCTGCACCACCTCCAGCGGCTCCTTGTAGCAGGGCACCACCACGCGGATGTGGTAGGCCAGCGCGGTGTGCACCTGCGGGGGAGGGGGCAGGCAGGCAGGCAGGCAGATGGGGGGAGGTGGGTGTGGCGGATGTGAGGAGTGGGAATAGCGGATGTGAGGGGAGGGCAGGAGGCACCCTTCGTACAAGCAGCACCAGGGCCCCTCGCGGCGCCTCGCCCCACCTGCCCCTTCTCATCGGGCGGCGGCACGTCGTTGTTGGTGACTCGTAAGGTGAGGCACAGGCCGTAGGGCAGCATGGCCAGGCCGCCCAGCACCTCCACAGACAGCACCAGGGCGCCATACCTGCAGGGCAACGGACGCGGGAGCGGGGCGGTTGGGACGGCGGCAGGGCTGCGGGCAAGAGCGCCTGGCAGCCGACAGCTGCCCCTTGCAGGCCCCTGTTGCCCCTGCCCCTTGTGGGCGCGCCTCTGCACCCCCGCTGCTGCAGCAGGGCTGCCGCATCCCCACAGGCTCACCACAGCATGGGCCCCAGGCCCAGCGTGTGTGCGGCGCGGGCCCACACGTAGAAGCCAAAGGCGGCGATGAAGAAGAGGAAGACGAACAGCCCCCACCAGTTGACGGCGCGCCGCTTGCGCAGCCGGTGCGGGATGGGCAGCGCGTCTGCGCAGCAGCAGCAGCGGCAGCACCAAGGTGTCGGCAGGGCATCGGCGGGGGGGAAAGCGGGAATCGGCCCCGCAGCCGGACAGCTGTAGTAAAGCTCTCCTGCATAGGCCGGCTGCGTGGCTGCCGCTCGCTGCCACACCTGCGTCAGCGCCGCCCTCCGCGCCTGCGTCTGGCGCGGGCGCCGCCGCCTCCTCCAGGTCCTCCATCCTGCGGCTGGCGGCAGACACCAGCGCCTCCGCATAGAAGGGCTTCACGTCGTCGCCTGCACACCAGGCAGGCAGGCAGGCAGGCAGGCAGGCAGGCAGGCAGGCAGCACACCCGAGGCGGTTGGCCGCTTGACACAATGGCACGGCGCGCGGCACCACGGGTTCCCAGGTGTTGGCAGCGCAGGCGGCCGCAGCGGCCCACCCACCCCGGTACTCGTCCTTGACAAAGGCCGCCCGCAGCAGGGCGGTGGCGGCGTCGGTGGCCGCTGTGCCCGCGCTGCTCAGGCTGAGCTTGGACTCGTAGGATGCCTCGCTGGCGCTGTCCAGCAGGCCCGCGCTCTCGGGCGCCGCCGCAATCTCCGGGTCGCCCTCCTGGAGGCAGGCGGGGGCAGAGGTGAGGTGAGCAAGAAGCAGGGGAGGTAGGGGCATGGGGGGCAGGGCCGCAGGGTGCGGGTGTACGGGAGATGTATGGGACACTATGCAAGGAGGTACAAAGCCATCAACCTGCCCGCCTGGCCGACCTCGCCGCCGCTGCTCACCTGGCCCCGCTGCTGCAGGTCCCTCTGCTGCTGGTGCTGCTGCCCGGCGACGGCGGAGGAGGAGGCGGTGACGTGGCGCAGGATGTCCACGAGTGTGGTGGTCAGCCGCCGCACGTGGTGCACGGGCACAACCTCCTCGCCCGCGTTGCTGCCGCTGCCGCTGCCGCCGGCGCCGCCGTGTCCCGCCTCCAGGTCGGCCATGGTTGCCACAGAGTCGCCCCGGGCGGTGATGGCGGTCTCCGCGCGCGGCACCGCGCCCGGCAGCGCGCCTGCTGCAGGGCGGGGGCGAGAGGGAGGTGAGCGGGCACGGCGGCAGTTGGCCAAGGGCTCGGGCGCAGGCACCAGGCAACAGGTGACGCATTGCAGGGCAAGGGGCTGGAAGCCTCCAGGCCCACCTTTGCTTGGCTGCTGCTGCTGCACGCTGCTCGACATGGATTCCAGGATCTCGACCAAGCTCTGGGTCATGCGGCGCAGGTGGCGGTCGCCACCGCCCTCCCCACCGCCGCTGCTGGGAGCGCCTATGCTGCTGCTGCTGCCGGAGCTGGGCAGCCCGGCGGCGGCCGCCGTACCGTGCTTGCCCTTCAGCATTGCTGCTGGGGGCTCGGCCAGGCTGCCAACCGGGTGCGATGCTAGCGGGTTTGTGAACACCTTGTCCTCTGCCGCCGCCGCCGCCGCCGCGGACCCAGGGGCCGCGAGCGGTGATGCCAGCATTGCTGCTGTCGGCCTGGCGCGCTAGTGTTGGCCTTGCCTGCAGATGACGCATATCGCATGCACGATAGTTGAGCGCAGTACGGCGGCAGCGCCACCTACCCCCCACCCGCCGCCACCGGAGAGCGCCCCGCATCTCACCTAAACGCCTCTGGCCTGCTGCTCTCCTGCCCTGGCACTAGCAGCGGCCCAACCCACGCCCTCTGGCTACCGAGAGCCTGCCATGCCTCGAGTGTCTGGAGCCGCCAGGGCCTGCACTGCACCAACCCAACCCGCCCACTTCAAGCGCGTTTGCGGATCGAAATGCGCTTGTTCTGGCATGCAAATAATGCTGCTTGATGGCTGCCTTGCCTCGAGGCCTGCGCGCGTGCGTGGCGGAGGGTTGCAGGCGGGCCGTACTGCTGCCAGCCCTGGTCCCTCGAAACACTGCTGAGGACGCTAGTTGACGTGCCAAATCGCAGGAGAGCAATGGAGGAAGGCCCTGGCGTTTGATCATCCCATGGCTGATGGAGCTGGCGCTGGCCGTCTTGGACAGAGCAAACCCAGCTGGCAGGGGTGCCTCCTCTCATCCCTTTTGCCCTAACCTTAATCCGCCCAGCCATTGGTGAGGCAAGGCTGTTACATAACTAGCGCAATCACGGGGTTGGCCAGCTCATAGCCCTGCTTGGCCAGCAGCGCGCTGCCATACGCCGCCTCTGCCTGCTCGCTGGCCACCACCGGCACGCCCAGCTGCCGCTGGCGGATGGCGGCCCAGGCTGGGTTCCTGGCGCCGCCGCCCGCCGTGTACACCCTGCACACTGGGGACGCACCCTGCTGGGCCAGCAGCTGGTAGGTCTGCGCCTCGATGCGGGCAATGCCCTCCAGCATGCCCTGCAGGAACAGGGCGTCGTCGGCCGGCCGCGGCTCCAGCCGAGGCTGCAGGTCGGGGTCGTTGATGGGGCACCGCTCGCCCGGGCGAGTCAATGGGTAGTAGTCGAGGCCGGTGGGCCTGCCCGCATCCAGCCGCGGCGTCAGCTCCGCCAGCTGGGCGTCGCTGAAGAACTGGCGCAGCACGGCGCCGCCTGCAGGGGTGGTGCCGGGGCGTGGTGGTTGGGAGTCACGCGAGAGAGGCGCTCGTTTGACGCAGCGCCACCAGCCGTCACAAAGAGCAGGGGCGTGCCCGCCGCTGTCGGCGCTTGCCTGTGTTGCTGGCGCCGCCCACCAGCCAGGCGGAGCCCAGGCGGTGGCTGTACAGGCCGTACCGCGCATCATCCACCCGCGTCTCGCTCAGCAGCTTGACCGCCAGGGTGCTGCCCAGGGATGTGACCGCCTGCAGCGAGGTGGTGGCATGGGTGCAGGCGTGCAGGTGAGGAGGACAGCAGGCAGGGGGCAGGGGTTGGCAGCAAGCCGTCTATTATAGGGGGAGCACAGACGCTCCCTGCTCGCCCAGCCCAGCAGGCAGCGCGGCAGGCGGCAGAACCACCGCGCCCACACACCTCGCCGACCTCGGTCACGCCCGCTGCCACAAACGCCGCTATGCTGTCGGTGGTGCCGCCGCACACCAGGCAGCCCTCGGGCAGCCCCGTCTGCTGTGCCACCGCGGACGTGATGGGAGCCACGGGCGCGCCTGGGGCCACCACCGCCAGGGGCAGCAGGCAAGCAAAGGGCTGCAGCGGCAGGAAGTACGCACAGCCATGGTTTGCAGGCTGCGGAGCGGTGAAGCCAGCCCATCACATCACCAACAAGAGAGGCTCCGGATTGGCATGTGCACCACATAGCTGCAGCCCGTGGCCCCACCTGGTCACACAGCCAGTCGGGGTAGCACTCTGCCGCCGGGTCATACCCCAGCTTGAGCGCGTTGTTGTAGTCTGTGACCCGCCACTCGCCGTGCAGCAGCCCTGCACGCGGCTTGGCGACGGTCAGTTGAGGCCCAACGCCTGCCACTGCTGCTTGTGGAGGAGATGGGCAGCTGGCAGCGGCTGGGTGGGCTGGCAATCCAGGGCGCTCTCAGAGCAGCAGGTGGCATCAGAGTGCAGGCCAGTGGGGCAGCCGCACCTGCGATCCAGTCGGCCTGGTGCACGATGCAGGGCTCCACGCCCTCCGCCTCCTGCACCCGCTGCCACACCTGCCGCTCATCCCAGTCCAGCACCTTGCAGAGCGTGGAGGTGGCGGTGGTGGCGGTGTGATCCGGCGGCGCCATCTGCCTGGCTCTAGCAACTGCCGCCGCCGGCTGCACTTCCTTGTACAGCTTGGGCGGCGCCAGGCAGCGCCCGCTGTCGCCGTCTATGAGCAGGGTGGTGGCCGACGTGCCGTCCACTGCGATGCTCGCGATGCGCTGCCGCTGGTCGGCGGGCACTGCGTCCAAAAGCTGCCACAGTGCGCTGCAACGTGGCGTGGTGGTAAGTGCAGCAGCTTGCTGAACAGGCCGGTGGTTGCGGAGATGGGCGAGCAGCCCGAGGCAGCGGCCGGGCCGGCAGCGATGGCGGCGGTGGCGGGCGTCGCCGCTCACCTGCGCCAGCTTTCATCCAGGCTCTTGCCCGCGACATAAGTGCAGCTCCACTCTGACTGCAGCTGGGCGTTGTTGCTGCAGGGTGGGGGGTCCCAGGCGGGCCAAGTGGAACGGGCTCCCGCTCTGCGGCGAGTGGCGCACATCCAGGTGTGATCCCAACATTACTCACAGTTCTACTCACTCGATCACGCACTGCCTGGCCCCCGAAGTGCCGAAATCTATCCCCAAGTAGAGTGGTGGGTCTCGCTGCGCTGCCAAGACTCTCACTTGCCGCAATGATGATGATCTGATGCATACTGGGGACGCCGCAAAGGGGCGTCCAGGGGCTGGCAGGCGGCAGGCGGGCGCCACCAAACCCTGCATTGCTGCAGAGGAGGTATGTGGGGGCTCTGTGACGATCACGACACGCAGGGCGCGTATCAGGGAGTCGTGGGTGTAGCAAACAGAGCAACAATGCACCCGGGGCGAGGTACTGGGTACTGCAGATGCAAAGGTTGGAGGCTGGGCGATGCCGCACCCTTGCCAGCACAAGCTGAAACGCCTCTGGATGAGGTTACAGAGGGCAGCGTGCAGAGGAAGCAGGCGATAATGGAAGCAGGAGAAGAGAACCTTGAGAGCAAAAATGCCAGCGAAAATAGAGTCGCTCACGAAAATGAACTGGCCTGCCATCACTCGGGCGTGTGCGGCACGGGGTGGCTGTTCAGGCGCTCCAGCTGCTGCACCCGGCCGCGCACGGCGCCCTTGGGCGAGGACGCTGCCGCCTCCTGCGCCGCCGCTGAGGCAGCCGGCAGCTGGCGCTTGGCTGGCGGGCTGCTGTCCCCACCCACCGCCACAGGCGTGATGATGGGCAGCGGGAGGGGTGAGCCCTCTGGCAGCTGCAAGCGCAGAGGCTGCTGCTGCTGCTGCTGTCCTGTCGCTGCACGCTGCTCGTCTGCGGCCCCATTGGCGGCAAGTAGCGGCACGCCGTTGGGCTGTGCTGCGCCGCCTGCCACCTCCAATACGGGAGACAGCTGCAGCGGCGAGGCTCCCAGCCCGGGAGTCTGTGACTCTGAGTCGGCGGGCCAGGGCTCGGGTGACGGCACGGCGCCAGAGGCGTAGGCGGGGGAGCCTTGGTCGATGCCAGACCGGTAGCTGCTGGTGCGGCTGATGGCGCCGCTCAGGCTGCTGGGCACCTCTGCGGCAGGCAGGATGGCGCAGCAGTGGGCGAGTGCGAGGCCAGGGTGGGAGGTGATGAGACCGGCAAGGAGAGCAGTGCTCGGCCCCACTCGAAGGCGTGCCACGACCCCCTCAAAAGCATACGCCGCCCTCCTCCCCTCTGCCTGCGCACCCGAGTACATCTTGCGGTGCCGCGCCTTGCGCTGGGAGGAGGCGCCTGAGCGGGCGCTGTTGGGGGCCACCATGGCCGACAGCTGCGCAGCATCCATGCCCGCCGCCGCCGCCACCTCCTCCAGCCTTGGCCGGATGGCCTCGTCGTCGCTGCACCGCAGCAGCGCCTGCCTGGCCAGGTCGCGGGCCGACACGTTGCGCTGCGCGCCGCCCAGCGCCAGCAGGGCGTGGAGCGCGCCAGCATCCACCGCGCGCCGCCGCGCCTCGGGCCAGGCCGCCAGGTGCCACAGCGCAGCCGCCGCGTGCCGCTGCACCTCGCCGTCGCCGGACAGCGCAAGCGCCACTATCGGGGCCAGCCCCGGCTCGGCCCCCACCTCCTCCAGCACCAGGGCTGGGTCGGCGCACAGGTTGGCGATGCAGGCTGCCGCGGGGCGCTGCACCTGTGCCGCCGAGCTGGCGGCGCCGTCCAGCAGCATCGGCAGCAGGCGCAGCTCCCTGACCCGCTGCCGCATGGCGTCGTGCGCCGTCAGCGAGGCCAGGCACTCGTAGGCGCCGCCCCGCACCTCGGCCCTGCCGCTGGAGCAGTCGGCCAGCAGGTCTGGCAGAGCGGCGGGGTCTCCCAGCAGAGCCTCCCTCTGCGCATCGTCCTGCAGCATGGCCGCCATGGCCAGCAGCTGCTGCCGCTGCAGCAGCGCGGGGTGCACCTCCCCAGGACCCTCTGGGTTGGCCAGCGTGCTGCGCCGCCGCAGCGCGCGCGGCTGCGTGCGCGGCGGCGCGGGCAGCAGGCCCGCCCTGCTGTCGGGCCGCACCACCGGGGACGGCTCCGCAGACTCCGGTTCGGCTGCCGAGGCGCGCATGCGGCTGCCGTGCAGCTGCTGCTGCAGCAGGGCCAGCAGGTCCTGCCTCGCAAAGTAGCTCCTGCAGGTGCCGCCGGCAACCGCCCAGGGATCAGCAGGGCGGCGTGTTGGGCCGGGAGGGGAGCTGCAGCCCAGACAACACGGGACGGAAGTGCACGGGGTGCGCCAGCCTGGCCCCATCAGGCCACACAAGCCCACACCTCCATGCACATCACATCACAGCAGCGCCACCCAAGGCGCAGACCTGTGCGCGGGGTAGGCCTCAGCCAGGTGCGTCACCGCCTCCAGCGCCGCCAGCAGCGCGTCTGCGGTTGGCGGCTGGCGCAGCACGCCCAGCAGGTGCCCCAGCGACCGCGCGTCCAGCGCCTGCACCCTGGGACTCTCCTCTTGCGCCAGCAGCGCCAGCGCCTGCAAGACAGACAGGGCAGTTCACCAACCAAGCAGCGCTGCCTTGGTTTGCGGCTGCTTGTTTTTGCAGCTGCGCAAGCCACCCACAAATGTCTGAGTCCCGCCCGCCTGACTGGTGCACCCTCCAACCCTCCACCACCCAGAGCAGCGGCCCCACCTGCACCGCCGTCGCCGCCAGCTCCGGCTGCGTCGCCGCCACCGCCTCTGCCACCGCGTCGAGGCACCCCGCCTCCAGGATGTAGCGCCGATTCTGGGGGCACGCCGCCAGCGCCGCCACCGCCCGCACCAGGCTGGCCTGCATCTCCGCCGCCGGGGCCACCGCGCCGGGGCGCCCGTCCCGCGCGTCCCTGGCGGCCTTGACGAGCACATACAGCTCGGCTCCGCGGGTCTGGCGCAGGGCCAGGGCGTCGGGCTCCCCATGCGCCGCCGTGTGCTCCAGAAAGTGCAGCAGCGCCTCGCGCTGCTCCCGCTTGGGGCTGCACGACAGCTTGAACACCGCCCTGTAGGCGAGGTAGGAAGACAGTAGGGTGGGGTTGAAGGTGGGTGGGGAGGGCACGCTGCCATCCACATGGCAGCTCTGCGCCCAGCGATAGCTTCCTGCTGATTGGCGAACGCCACCCACAGGCGTGCCCACCTGCTGACGGGAGGGATGGTGCGCGCATTGAAGGGCTTGCCAACGAGCAGGTTGGTGGGCAGGCGCGGCGCCTGCTGCGGCGCGGTGAAGCAGTTGAAGCAGGCCAGCACGCCGCCACGCCCCAGCACCCTTCGCTTGGGGTGCTTGCGGGTGAAGAGCTGCACCGGGGGCAGGTGGCGGGGTGGTGGTGGAGCAGGCATGAGGTGCATCACTGGCACAAGCAAGTTCGGTGGTTCCTCCAACCCTCTGCACAGCATGAATCCATTCAGCTAGTCGCCCCGCCTCAGAGCCAGCCCGTCGCCGCCGCACCCCCGGAGCCCGCCTCACCTGCCGCGGCGTGCGCCCAAACTCCATCATCTGCAGGCGCAGCGCCTCCCTCCTGGCGGGGTCTCCCTCTCCCTCCAGCCACCTCAGCGCCACCTCATCATAGGTCAGGAAGTGGAACACGTTGTCCGCCCTCTCCGCCGCGCCGCCCCTCGACTTGCGCCCAAACACCAGGTCTATCCACTTGTGCAGGCGGGCCGACACGTGGGGCGACTCCAGAGCCTCCTGGAGCTTGTACAGAAAGTCGGCGGCGTCGGAGGCCCACGGCGGCAGCGCCACGTCGCCCACCCGCTGCCCGCCCGACCGGCACCCAAAGTCGGTGCCCTGCTTGTTCACCTGCGCGCAGAGGCAGGCAGGCAGCGCCGGCGACGGCAGCGTGAGGCCACGGCCTGGCATGCAGCTGTCCATTTGTGCGGGCTGGTGGGTGCCTGTCCGGCAAGCAGTGGCCAGGGGGCTGTGCGCAGGTAACACTGATGTGTTGGGACAGGGTTGCACACATGCCGCCCAGATCCTGGCAGCCCCACGCCACCCCTCCCTCACACGCCCACCCACCCACCAGGAAGGATGCGTCGTTGGAGTAGAACTCCGGCACCAGCTCCTTCACGTCTGACGGCAGAGACAGCACGCTCTTCCAGGTGTCGGCGATGGACCAGAAGAGGCGGTCGGGGGCGTCGAAGCGGCCGTTCTGCGGGAGGGTTGGTGTGGGCAGGCAGGGTGGTGCATGCATCGGCGAGAGCAGGCTGGGCATGCTCAGCCAACAGGGCACGTGACCCCTGACCTCCGCTCCCTACTGCGCCACCTCCCCACCACCACCCTACACCACATGCACACACACGTGTGTCACACACAACCCCCACCTGCAGGCGCAGCATGAGCTGCGGGTCGCTGCGCATCAGGTAGAACACGACATAGCCGGGAGAAGAGTAGTGGCAGCCGTACAGGAAGGGGGGCATGTCCAGCGGCGGAGGCGCGCCCAGCGGCTGCCTGCCGCCGCCCCCTCCTGGGGCCGCCATCTGCTTCAGCTCGGCGTAGCGCTGCTGGAACTCGTGCAGGCGGCGGGGGATGAGGGCGCCGATGGGCTTGGACAGGTCGCGGTAGGTGGCTGGGTCTGACAGGTCCAGGGTGGGGGAGGAGTAGTCGGCCACAACCCAGGGCATCACCTGCAGGAGGAGCGGCGGCGGTGGCAGGGTGGCGAGGTGGGTCACGGGAGCAGGGGGAGGTAGAGAAAGACGGAGCACCGGCGGCTTGGGCTGGATGGCGGCAGCCGGCATGTGGTGTGCGTGGAGGAAGGGGCTGCTGAGAGGCGCCCCTCACCGGGTACTGGCTGAGGTCCTTGAAGCTGCGCCCCGCCTCGCGGTTGAGGTGCATCAGGTAGTCAAAGTTGCTGCGGGGTGCAGAATTGGATCAAGGTCTGTGTGTTGGTGGGAGCGGCATGGGCAAAGCGGTGCGAGGGCTCAAAGGGAGTGTTCTTACTCCCCCAGCCTCAGCCCTCCTCCCCCACCCCCACCCACCAGGCTGCCCCCCCACCTGATGCGGCCCGCCACCCAGTCGCGCGTCCACGCCTCCCTGCTGCGCATCTTCTCCAGCTGCACCGCGGGCTGCTGGTGCATCAGGCGCTGGAAGACGTCGCGGTCGGCGGCGGCGCGGAAGGCCAGGTACAGGGAGTGGCGGGAGGAGAAGAACAGCTCCAGGCCCAGGTCCTCCAGCTGGTAGGTGCGCCGCGCCGCAGCCACCACACGGCCCAGCGGGTAGGCCTGTATGGGCGCCCCCGACTGTAGGTTAAAGGGCTGGAAGTAGATGCGGTGCTGAGTCAGCACTGCGCGCCCCGGCTGCGCCGCCAGCGGCGACACCGCCGACGCCACCGCCTCCGCCACCACGCTCTCCTCGTCCTCCAGCCACCCCGGGTTGAACAGCTCAGCCTCCTCGTGCTCCTGCGCGGCAGGGCGAGGGGGGCCGTTGGCACCTGGCAAGCCGAGCTACAGCTCCCACCACATTCCCATGGTGGCAGCCCCTTGCCACACCGCGTGGCGCTACAGTCAAGCACCCAGCTCGCCCTCCACCCGACCCACCGCTCCCCTCCACCTCTACCCACCACTCGCGCACCCACCAGGCCGGCACCCACCTTGACGAGGTCTTGCAGCTTCTGCGCCGCAGCGGCCCGCTCCTCCTTGGAGTGGGCGGCCCCCGCGGCGTGCGCCAGCAGGCACAGCTCCTCCACCGCGGGCACCACATCCTCCAGGCAGGCATACACCGGGGAGAAGCGGAAGCGGAAGTCACCGCGGTGCTGCTGGTAGGGCGCGTCCACGCCCCCCGCCTTCATGTCCACCCTCAGGCTGCAGCACACCTCGAACTGATCCTCCCCGTGCGGAGACGCCTCCTCCAGCCTGCAACAGCCAGCGAATTTCGAGATGGCGTGTCGGGCATGCAAAGCGTGCAGTACGGCAGTTTGAACTGGCCGCTGGTGCAGCCCGCGGCGGCACTCACGGCTTGATGGCGGTGGTGGACTGGAAGGGGATGCGTATAATGGGCTGCTGCAGGTCTCTGGGCACGAAGAACAGGCTGCGGCTGCAGACCTGCAGGCTGCCCACCACCCTGCAGGCAGGGGAGGCAAGCGGGCAGGGCAGGCGGTGTCGGGTGGGCGTCCGCCAGTGGCCATGGCCCCCAACCAGTCGGCGCAACTTAGCGGCCAGCTGCAGCCCGCACCTCTTCCGCTCCTCCACCCAGTGATAGGCGGTGTGGCCTTTAAAGTAGTACTCGCCATCCTCCAGCAGCAGAAGGGAGAAGCGGCCTGCGACGCCGCTCTGGCTCCCGCTGCCGCCGCTCCTGCCGCCGAAGCTGGACCCCGCCTTGCCCAGCCGGTTGCCGCTCATCGCCTCAGCCCCACGCACCGCTGCTGCACCATGCCAGCCCGACGTGAGCGGCTGCTCGTGTCCCCCGCGTGGGCAATCACCCGTCGGCGTGCAGTTGACTGCCGGAGGAGCACTGCCCTCGATTACAGCGTTTTGTGGGAGTGCCCCGATCGGCCATCAACCTCCCAAATGCAGGCCTGGAGGAGAGAGAGCACAGCACAGCAGCCAATCAGGCAGGGGCATGCACCGCATCGCCTCCTTTCTGCATCATCGATCACGGCAGGTGGATTGTGCAGCGCACCCCAAGGCTTGGCCTCGCTCCCACTCTGAGTCAGTGTCGGCCTGCGCGTGATCGCCCCCCAGGAGCCTGGGGATGGGTCAGGAGGGCCCTCCTCCCGCAGCAGACGGCGGGGGAGGGGAGGCCGCCTCCTTAGAGGCCCTGCAGGTAGCGCCCCGCCCGCCGCCGCTGCCGCCGCCGCCGCCGCCGCCAGCCGGAGGCGCTGCGACCCTGCTGCTTGTTGCCGGTGGCTTTGTGGCTCACGCTGCGATTGAGCCATGATTGTGATGGGGCTGGTATTGCGATTTGGCACTGTCGGTTAGCAGGATGCGACCCAGAAGATCAATGAGGCGGCAGAGGCGCTGGAGCGGCGGCAGCAGCTGCGCGCCCTCAACCTCAACCCCGAGCGGCCGGGTGCGCCAGCCGCCTGCCCTCATGCTTGCGTGCCACCAGCGCAGTGCCGCCTCTGCTCCCCACAGCAGCACCACGCACAGCTGCATGCAGCTGCCTGCAAGCTTGTGAAGCTACCTACGATGCCGCAGCTGCCCACCAGCCCCTCAGCTCCCCGGCTGCGGCCGTGCCCGCAGGCGAGGATGCCCTGAAGCGGCTGGACTCCAGCATGAAGCGCAACTCTGCGCTCATCCGCAAGCTCAAGGCGCTGAGCGAGGAGTCGAGGCGGTCTGTGCTGGACGACATCTCCAAGACCAACCAGAGCAAGGTGGGTGCTGGCGGTGGCGTTACGGTTGCCGTTGGTTGCGGTTGGGTGGCGCCGGGAGCTGGGAGAGTGTCCGTGGTGGTGGCGTGGTGGTTGCACGGAGGGAGTCGGTGACCGCTGGCGTCGATGGATGCCTGCTGCCGCTGCTGCTGCTGCCCTGCACGCCAGGGCCTCCGGC